ATCGAGGAAATTCAAAGAAACTTATGCATACAGGACCGTTCTCTGTCCAAGGGGATCGCATGGTGGCATACTGTGGAAAAGGACTTCAAATTGAATGAATGAATGTATTGCATGAATTCTTTTAAATAAGAGGTTTACGGTAGTTCTGTCGTAACGAGATAATTCGAGCGGACGAGGGTCTGACTCAAAGCTGAAAGGCCATGGGTTCGAGTTCCGGTCGGGGTAATTCTCTTTTCTCCCTTTCGAGGTTGATAAATGAACGGGAAGAATGAACGAGAATATAAACCACGCTTGTCACATAATTGTCTGTGATTTCGCTTTTAAAAAACTAAGACCTTCCTAACTAATGACATGGAAATAGAGATCAGCGCCCCCCTCTATTAACTTCGTGAAAACAAATGTTATAGAACTATCCCTGTCAAGCAAGTGCAAGGAAGACCAACATTCCACGGTTGCGAATTTTCCTTTCCCTTCTGAAAAGGGAACTGATAAGAAATAGACAAGCAAGAGCGCTACAGCGCTATTATGCAAATATTTTAGCATAATTTATAATTCATGTACAACTTTCGTTTCGCGAACTCCATTCAGAACATAAGTAATGGAATAACAGATTTATAGACTTCCTATGTCGTAACCAGGAATCGTTCAGTAAGAGCGTTAACGCGCTTTGGAGCGATTATATAGTGTCCGCGCTTGACTGAACCACAATAGACCTAATTAATTAAATCAATTGCGTTGCTGAAACAGTAATTGTCTTAGTTTGTTATGATAACGGCGGTGATTAAGTAAATCGGTCGTAGTTCACTTAACTTATGAGTAACTTTCTCTAGTCAGGTCACTCTCCTTATGATACATAAGAAGTTACCCTATAAATATAGAGCAGAGCTGACGCAGATATTTTGCATCGTTAAGGTTAAAATAAATAAAATTAAAACTGAAACCACGGAAAGCAGATTGTCCCTACTGGATAACATGACTGAGCGAAAGCAACACTCACTCACTCCTAAAGTTTCAGTTTATACCAGCAGAGTTGAGGTATCTTGTGCAGGATGAAGCAGAATGCAAATATGGAGTAGAAGCCATGCAGTATGTAACAGAGAAGGATAAGGCGTATGATGAACTACTTTCGATGCGGATACACTAAATCAGTGAGCCTAAGGATGGAAGTATAATTTTAGGATAATTTTAGGCGGTATTTTATTTAACGACAAGTATCGGTTGCCAGAACTGGTCGACCGATTTACGACTAGCATTAATAAACTTTGACTACCATCGTCTCGTCGTTCAACGTCTACGATTTTTATTTCCTAATTTTTCTAAAAGATCATAATAAATGAACTAGATATACCAGTATGTGGTTGGTGGCGTGACCATACAGCGCCGCAGTCGTCTTTCGAACATTATGTCGTCAAATGGTTACCTTTTACAAGTTATTTGTATTGAAGCATGTTAATTTACTAGACGTATCAAAGCAAAGGAAAACTTGACCTCTTTACAGGAATAACTTGCAACACGCAGTTCTGGGAATGAGTGAAGCTACATCTTTGTTAGTACCATTATTTAAGGTAACATTTAAAGAATTTAAACAAACTTTAAAATGATCAGGTGAGTTAAACAGCTGTCAAATTAAGTCAATGAATATAAATTGGTTATTATTTCAGCACTCTTCTACGGCTTAAAATACTGCATGGAGTCCCGCTTTGTCAGATCGTCTGTGACTTACTATTCAGAACTTTACTAGTTTATTACGGTTCAGACTGCTCCTAATTGTACGGGCATAGAAGGACAAATGTAGAGAGTTCTACATACGGGCTTTAAACATGCATACTGCGTGACGACGTTAGAGTTCTGTCCCCGGTTTCTTCTCATCAGATGACCGACCTCGATTCATCGTTAACTCTGAGCCGGACAACGACTGACACATTATGATCGATCTCACGTAGGGTAGGCTCGATATTTTATACCATATGACTGGTCGATTGGAAGACGAAGGCGAACTTGAGCGATGTAAATGCCCGTTTTGTTATCATTACTTCACACTCACTGCGACGAATCGAGCCCGGTTGTTTACGCCTGTTCTGAAAGCCCAAACTGAATGCTTCAACCAAAAACAGCCAATAAATCGTGCTGTTACTAAATAAGTTGAAAGGTACGAAGAATAGCAGATTCGAGAAAGCCCATTGCCATTGCGTGAATTCCGTTCAGTTTCGGTTCCACGCAATAGCTTGAACGCCTGGAACGCAAACGCAATTGGCACACTGGAGTCCGTACATGTAGGTTACTGACCGGCATCGATAATCGCAAACTCAAGTAGAAGCATAAGCCAATACATTATGCCACAACTGCAATAAAATATGATAAACTTAGGGCGTTGACGCAGAGTCGTTCGACTTTTAGTGAGCGGTGTTGGTTGGAATCGAAAAGTTTTCATATTAACCGCTAATTCCGTTGCACAAGGAATTCACCCCACTGTGCTTCAGTGCAAATAGCCAAGAAACGAATAGCAGGTAGTTGACGTGGGAGCAATGTGAAGCAATATAGTCATCATTTCAAAAGCTTGTGAGCCAGCGCTAGTGTCATCGATGCCCGCCCTCCACGACTGTAATTTGTGAATAAGATACGTCACTAAGACTCAGTACAAGTGCAATCTGAACCACCAAATTTTTTGTTCAGAAAGTTAACGATATCCACCGCGACTTTGCTCCACTTCTTCCGGATCTGTGCAGTTCCGGTGTTGAGAATCGGACCTGTGATTTATGCAGTTCTGCATAACATGCGGTCAACATCATCGCGCTTCTTTTCGAGTTGGTGTAAGGATTCATAATCTTTTGCTTAGAGAGTAAATGATACGATGAAAAGATTTAAACATTTTCTTCCAGAGATTAAAACGCATAATGAGCCCCTTTATGCCTTATGGTGACCCACTCTCCACAAATTTAATCTCAGCTCCACGTGGCGGAGAGCAAGCAAATCTATGAAGTAAAGGGACCTAATGCAAAGCTTGATGGAGTACATCTTTTAACCCTTGAAGACTTTGCACGAACTTTGAAATGATTGATTAAAGAAGAAACATAATCAGGGGTTGCGAAGCCTGCATATGTTATTATTAAACCAAATCTATATCAGAATCGAAATCAGGGTTGAGCCTTGTGCTGACAGGATAATCAGCTGTGAAGTAAGTAGAAGTGCAGCCATAAGGGTGTGCTTGCACTGAACAGTATGGCCGTACATGCCCATTCATTTTGGCATGAACAGACCAGAATACCGTGCCACTATTCACAAGTTACCAACTTACCAGCTGTTTCTCGGCTGACGTTAGTTCCTTGCTCAACGGAATTCCAATTGAGACCCTACAACCCCGGAGTTCTACCAGGCCCCGGTGTAGCAAAGAACAACCTGACGACAAGCCAAAGCGAGAAATGACTGACAAAACGTTTTCCCCGCGTTTTATATTATCTGAGCATTTGATAGCGGTTGATGGAATGTACAGATCCGAAACTTTGACGCTTTGATGCGGTAATCGGTGGTGATCGGCAACACGCCGGCCACCGTTTCTTGCGACTGAATAGATTAATGAAATTTTGAAATATCACAATAAATCAATCATTATTTGTTCTGATTGACAATCTGTATCTTGATCGTTATCCATTTTGAGTTACATGAGCGCAGATTGGCCTTATAAAAAACAGGTACGGCGGACTCTGAACATTGGACTGAAATCGATTAGGTCCGACGATGACAGTTACCGCGTTTCACAGAACTGAACAAGCGGTTGATGCATTTTCGGCAATTTCTTTGTTCCCAGGTTCGGGACTGAGTGATATCACTATCTATCGAACTGTTTGCCCCTTAAAAAGAACTTAACTCTACCTCACCGGTCGAAGTGCTCCAAAAATATCCCATCTAAGGATAGCATGCCCCTGCCAGCATTCCAAACTAATGCCACACTGAAACAATTCAAAATTGGTTGCGCGGTTCGCAGTCGGTCGCCTTAGTGATCGTGAATATACGGATCCATTCATTTTGTAGAAATCCTAAATAACGCGACCGCGTTCTTTATCTCTGCGACACCCGTTGTTCGTACGATTGCATGAGTACAGTGTTTGTCATTTATTTCGAGAAGCAAAAGTCTACCATATCCCATCGAGATCTCTCACCAACAAATTTGAGCCTATAAACTTTCCGCGAAACTCTCTAGAGTGGTATTGATTTCAGGAAGCACGAAGAAACTGATCGCCGCAACTAATTTCGCTCAAACATCTAATTAATGACATTTCGATCTTTTAATAATTCTATTTACTCAACGATTCAAACGCTTTCAATGTTCTCTACTGACTGTCATCGTCATAGACAGGTTACTTGAGAAATGGGCGAATAGAACTGAGTGCATTATAGAGCGACGATATTTGCTGAAAACTAATAATTATCTCTCAGTTATGAGCGTAAACAGACTTATTGACGGCCAGATTGATTTATTGAACCACCGAGGGCTTCCACTATCCCATATAAATTAGTCAATTTTCATCCACGTTGACTTTTCAGCACGTCAGTTGGAATTTCGCTAGACACCCTCGTTGACTTTTTATTCAATGATTTAGTGCAGTCGTTATCTTTCTCATACGCCATGTCATATTTCTTCACCGCGTTTGTAAATGCATTCTAAAGTGAGTTTGAAACGACACATGCGTACCTGTGTCTGATAAAACTGCAAAATATTGTATATGAGGCTACGAATGAGCCAGACAAGTTTCAGAAATAGGGGCTCATGGAGTGTTCACACTTTCGCATCTTTGCATTATGATATGGCAGTGTAGAATGTACTTATTTGTTTGGCAGGTAGCATTTCATCTACTTCCAAACTATTGATCCAAACGATGTTGATACTGTGGCATTGTACACAGGATGATCGGCATCATGGAACAACTCTAAAACGGATTGTCATATATCGCTGAAGCAGGAAGCCCGCTGTCGAATAGGTTCGAAGTCAGAAATTATGTGAGACAAGGAGAAATCCTTTCTCTTGCACTAGTTCAGCATTGTCATCTGTTACACGACAAGAACAAGCCTTGACATTGTAGAAAAAGACTTATGCCTAGTCGAATGCACACTTCGAAATATCCAGCGGTAAATCTCACGAATCTTGAATCTGCGAAAAATGTCATTCTTCTAACAGATGCTGAAGGTGGTTTTAGAATTCTGTCAAATGACGAAAATGCTTATGAATGAGAGTTGCATCTTTGTAATAGCGTACTTTCAAATTCAGTTTCTGCATAAGGTCAACATCGTCTTCGTCCACATCAACATCAACTTCGTCATTCTCCAAACTTGCTGGATAAGTGTATAAAAAAGCGAAATTGTAAGCAAGATTTTGTTTATGCTTCATACAGTAGCCGATGAACCCTATGTAAGTATCCTTTGTCGAATAGAACCCGTGCTGATGCATTCTGAAACCATGCTAAAATTAACATGTGGACTAACTCAAAGAGTTATCGCTTCACAATTCATGATCCAAACAGTTAGCGTGAATGCCAGGATAGAATACTTCACGAATTTAAGTTGAATTCAACACACCGACAGCTGCAACTGCAACCACTACAAGTTATTGTCAGCGGGTAACAACGATGGCAGAAAATCGTTCGCATCTTCCAATGTACATTTTTTTATGACAAAGGTTGCTCAGTCGATGGCAAGTCGCATTCAAAACCGAGGAATCCCGAGTTCGAACCCCAGTTAGGTCACTCTCCTTTCATTCTTCAGAAGTTGATAAATGAATTCCATAGTGTGCGAAGACTATACGCAGTACTTACCACAAGTATTACTGTGACTAGAATGGAGTACTTCTGGCTGACGGCTTAGAAATAGAGATCAGCCTCCATCCACTGATCCCATGAAAAGTAAGACGTCATACATGACCCCATCATGAAATTGAGGAAGACCGACAGAACATTTTATCTCAACATGTACCCAGTTTGTCGCTTCATCTTTTTACGCACTTTACTTGCAGTTTTCCTTCCCGCAGCTTAACTCGGCAGTAAAACCGATTGCTTCATCTGTGAATATAGCTTGTCATAATGTCAGCGTATCCGAGGATGGTGCTGTCGGTGTGCTTTATGCTCTGCAGTACGCGCGCTTCATGAGTCCGCTAGCACTTGGAGAATGGTCATGCTTGTTGTATTATTGATTCGTTGCTGCTGGACCTTCTTTGCAACCTACCAATTCCTCGGCAGTGAAAGAAGGCATCATCGTGTTTTTCGCACACGTCACATTCGCAGCCATCGTGTAGAGACGTGTCCTCCGAGCAGCCTCATCAATCGATTGCGTTCCATGAGCACTGCGCGAGGCAGACTGCGAAAGCGCGGCATGCGAGGAGGTTTCAAGTCGAAACTTAAACTCCGAGCTTGTCGCCCGCTCACATGGTGATTTCCATCAACCGTTGTTCTGTGCCATGAATCGTGGCTGAGCCCCGACGTGGGGAGTGGTTCCCTGGTGGCCGGGGGCGATTCCCAACTGCATCATATTCTGAGCAGACAAATCACTCTACCGTAAAACCTGCGAATTCAGTGTCGTCATCAGGGTGTACCAGCAGTGGTATGCGGCTCCTGCCTCGAGATTCATCTATTTCTCGGACGGAATCGACTGCCTTATGGTCTAATGTTGCACCAAGTTGAGTAGTTTCAAAAAAGATATGATCTGCAGCTTGCACATTGCAGCCGACATTCGCCTTCTGCGTTCATAGCATTCTTTTCGTATACTACGTTTCGTGGGAGTGGTGGGGGGATACCTAACAGTCGCCGGGGATTTCAATCACAGGAACGCTTTGTTCCTTCGTGAATTGGGTCTCATCGACATCATCCGGTTTAAAAAACGGTTCGACACTAAGCTAGAACACTTGTTCACGAATATCTCTGATATCTTCAGAATCAGGCGGCGTTTCTCCTTGGATCCGTTAACCACTGCATCGTCAGTGCTATACTTTGTGTTTTTCAGAACCACAGGCTGGCGGAACTCGTGAGCTCCAAACGCATGTCTTGGCGCATAAGGATCTACTCAGAAAAAGCAGTCTCATACCTCCTGCTGCGACCTTGAAAAAGCAAACTGGGCCGTACGGAAAGATCCGGACATTGACGCTGAAATAGACGAGGCGGCTTCACCAAATTCTGGAAAAAAAAGATACGAACTCTGCACGGATTGGACAAGCCTTATCAAGCCTTTTATCGAAAAACTACTTCAGCAGCAGTATGGACCAAAGCGTACTTTGGCCTCAAGTGTCACGACAATTGTTGTGCCCAGACCCAACTGCGGAAATCAACCCGATTCACTCTGAAGAAGGCTCGCAAAAGACAAGCCGAAAAGTCGGTTCTGGTCATTAACCTGATTGACCAATTTATTTGTTTGCGCTATGAATAAAATAAACCCTTTTTATAGCTCTCAACTTCTTAAAATAGCCATTTAAGAAACGAAACACGGGAAGCAGAAATGCAATAGTAACAACACCTTGCATACAAGAAAGAAGAAACAACATAGGAAATTTATAACTTATAGTAGAATCCAGAGGTTGCATTTTTGAGCTTATTAAGTGCACCGGTTAAGACACATTTAAACGGGCAGAGCATTTCTTCAGTACCTGACCTTGACTCCACGTAACGCAGCAAAGGAGTTATATATGGTGGCACACGAACTCGCTGTACAGCTCATTTTAGGAGTACATAGATATTTTTTGCGCACTTGAGAACTTCACCACTCTAAGTAAAAGAGGCTAACTTTAGCTAAAATACCTGAATCCGCCCGCTAGTCCAAATCACAAGATCAGCATCACGTACTTCTGATCGATATCGTCACGAAACGCGAAGTGGCCCTCCTTGAAATGCTATGCAACAGAACATCGCCTGCATAACGTCACGGATCAACAACGTCGTGACATGCATGCAACGTCGAACGACTGGACGGTTACAAAGCAAAAATTATGTACCAATCTGTGTGGAAGCCAAAGGTGGACGGACTTATTTCCAGCCGCACTATTTTCTGCGGCCCATTCAAGGACTGCGGGAAATGCTGTAATGCCAGAACCAGAGCGTGGTCATTTCTGGCATTGATCTTATTGATTGTGTAGAAACCAAAAATTTAGGCGCAATTAGCAAACCTTGATCAATTATCAGGTAATCGTATTCGAGTTCGAGACGTCGGCAGTTTCTTAAGGCAAGCATCCGAAAAGAAAGTGCACGGTTTAAGTTATAGTAGGATGTTGTTGGCGTTACACACTGAGGTTTCCGTTCGCGCGTCATATCCGGTTCATGATATTTGTTGTATATTCAACTGTTTACAACCTACTGCTAGTTGGTCAGCTGCCAGACAAACTACGTCGTCAGAAGAAACGCTCCTCGCCGAGCTACTCGTACTTGTTGAATTCGGTGTTGCCTCCTTGCTGAACTCATGCGTAGCATCTACTCGGTTTCAATTCAAACATTAAAACAGTTGAGAAACGCGTTAATATGGTCCATCTTAAACCGAAGTGATTGATGATTTTCAAACCCTGTACTATGCAGTATGATTCAACATGAGCAGCACGTCGAATAACGATTGCAATCGAGTCTTAGTTCACCGTCTTTGTTCCCTTGTAGATAGGGAGCGATTCTGTTGTCAAAAGAACCGAAAGCGACTGGCCAAATTGAAGATCACAATTACCGTGATTTACGTATGCGATTAAGATATTCAAGGAGAAGATATGCAAGAAGGAATCTCTTCTCAAGGCCACATAGCGGCGGAAAAATGCAGACTGAGAACCAGGTCATCACCAGTCTTTTTCGATCTGTTGCCGAATGAAGGTCGCTTCAAGATTTCGCCCCAAAATTCTGTTTTTGCGTTTTTGTTCATGCTGTTCAAATAAATTTCTTCAGGTCACTCCACGTTCTATCTGGGGGTCTTCCTATCGTCCGCTTACTGTCGAAAACAATCCAGTCTACTATATTATTGATTGTACGATCGTCGGTTCTCCAAGCTCACTGTCAAGCATTGTGATTGGACATTTGAAATACTACGGGTGATGCTAGACCTGATACATTGCATATAAGAGGGGCAAAAGGTACCGCCTGAATTGAAAGATCGCTGCTGAACTAAACTGCTGACTTAAAAACGTAGTTCGCCTACGCGACGCGCTATC